GTCATAATTATATCTATTTAAAATAATGAATAAACTTTTTGATATTTTTAATCTCAACATCGTTCCTCTTCATTTTCACTTATAATAATCACAATAGTTGCGGTATAATATATGAATGTTTAAATAGTTAAAAGTCATTCAATTGGTTAATAATTTAAAATTTAAAGTTCAAATTTACAATTAAATAAAAAGAGATTTAAGAAATTAAAATAGTTGTCAATAACTTAAATAATTTAGTGGTCATTTCTTTCCTTTGGAAATAAAAGATCTTGAGTTCAAGTCGCATTATATGCGAGTGTAATGAAACAAGGGATGAGAGATGTTTACCTCTCACTGTGCAATCAAGATAAAAAAAAATATTTATCCTATTTATATAACTTATTATCAAATATATAAAAGAATCTAAATAAAAAAAATAGAAGTTGGTATGCTGTAAATGAATGAATAAAATGAGAATAATCAAAAGAAAAAAAAGGGGAACTGACAGATCAGCCTATGTATCTTGCTAAAGAGATGATCTGGCCCAGCGGGGCTTAGCAAAACCGAACTCACGAAGGTCAATCATTTTCTAATGGGCTCGAGATTTTTAAGCCCAAATGTTATTTCCACGTCAATGATAGTCAATCTATCATGTCCTCCATTTCTCATAGGCAAGATCTGCAGTCCTTTTCTCTTCATTTGGTTGTTTCCTCCTCATATTTTCCGCTCTGATCAGGTTTCCGACGTCGGAACCTTGATCCAGCAGCCATGGCTGCCGCTAATGCTCCCATCACCATGAAGGAAACTTTGACGGTAACAACCATCAGTGTCTCCACTAAGCAACTCCTTCAATTTCATTCTTCGATCTGTAATCCTTTGCTTCTGCTGTAATTCTTAGATCTTATGGTTTCGTTCTTTTTTCTTTTTTTCCTTCTATTGTTTTTTTGTTGCAGTTGCCGAGCATCGGGATTAATCCGGAGTTCATAAATTTCACGCACGTTACTATGGAGTCAGACAAAAACATTTGCATCAGGGAAACGGCGCCAGAGAACAGCGTCGTCATCATCGACATGAACTTGCCCATGCAGCCTTTGAGGCGGCCTATGACGGCTGATTCCGCTTTGATGAATCCTAACTCCAGAATTCTGGCTTTGAAAGGTACTTTAACAGTTTCATTTCAATTATACAGCATCACGTTAAGATTTTCTGTAGAAGTTTAATCTACATTTTCTTCTTTCGTTTGTTGAATAAATTGCGTTTAGATAAGTCAATATTAAGGATTAAGATGATAGCAATTATATTTGATTTTCCAGATTTCATTTATGTTTGGAGTTGTATTGCTTGTTTCATATGCTTCTATTAGCACAATTATTGATAAATCTTTACTTAATAGGATATTTTTATGTTATTGTAATTGAATTTAATTTTCAATTGTTAACTTTTTTTGTTCTTGCCTAACGAGCTTGGCATTCAATGTAAAGCTCAAATTCCGGGAACCACTCAGGATCTTTTGCAAATATTTAACATTGAAACGAAAGCGAAAGTGAAATCTCATCAGATGCCCGAGCAGGTAACTAAGTTGTTTGAACATTTTAAATGTGGTAATTGTTGTTTTCTAAAATTTTCTTCGTGATGGATTTGATCATCTAATGTTTGGTTTTTTTCTCTGTTTTCAGGTTGTCTTTTGGAAGTGGATCTCTGCAAATAAGCTAGGTCTGGTCACACAGACATCAGTATATCACTGGGCAATTGAAGGCAAGTTTTATTTGTTTTTCATTGAATTCATCTTTGGCTTTGTTCTCTTTAAACATTACCATGTTGGTGCTATAATTTAATATTTTTTTCCATAATTAACTGTTGTATTGTGTTTGGCTGTCTTTTCTTTGTTCTGT